TGTTGCGGCGGGCCTGTGCCCCCCCTCCCACATGCCCCCCCAGCCTGTGCTACTCATACACTGACACACGGGATGTAGGACTTGCATTAGTTGTGTTAGTCCTTTATTTCAAGGGCCTGTATATTTATTTCCGTTAGTCCTTTATTTCAAGGGCCTGTATATTTCTTCCTCAGCACACTCATTTGCTGTTGTGCCCCTGATGTTTCTTCTTAAAACAAACACCCTTCTCCCTGTCAGTGACTTGGTTCCCAAGTCTCTGCCTGTAGAAATCTCTGCCTCCATAAACCTGCTTTTCCATTCTCCTGCACTCAGGTGACTCCTGTTTCAGCTGCCTTGGTTGGCCTCAAATCCAGAACATCTCCACTAACTTCCTTCTTTCCCCATTAAATGCTCACAAAACAGCTTCTGACACGTCAAGAACAGGCTGTTCCAGTGCATTCCCTTGGGAATTGTGCCATGGCTGTGACAGCAACATGCATGTGCACATCCATGGGTTGCACATCCACTGCTCTGGCAGAGCCTCCCTACGCCACAAGCTTACACATTCATTACATTATGTTAAAACAATAAGAGCAACTTTACTACTTTCCATACTGTTTATGAGGGGTCTAATAAAAAGGTTCTGTGGGCAATTGTTCCCTGTGGGTCAATTCAGGAGGAAATAAAACTCTGCTGTTTCTTACAAAACAGAGGAGGCCAAATAGCTCACAGCCATGCTTAGATGGGATTTGGGGGGGGTGGAACATGAGATATGGGCTGAAAGGAGAAAACCCTGCTTCCATTTAATCAATAGTGTTTAAAGGTCTATAATAAGGCCTGTTGGGGGGGTCTGTGTGTAAGTGGGGAGCAAAGCCCCGCTGTTGCTAACTGAATAATGTGGCAGTTGTCTGGTTTGAGCACAAGCCTGTGTTTTCGTTCCACTTGAAATGGGAACCAGCTGTTGTAGGTGCTGGAACGTTGGGGGGCCTTTGGCCCTCACTGGGAGGTGAGAACTGCTGCAGGAGCATTTCCTTTGGTGCTGCAGGCTTACAGCTTCCTGCGCAGGAACAGCAGCCACCCTGCAGCCAGTTCTTCCCCTCCCCTGTTAGCCCGGCTCCCCCCTTACGAGCAATTCCTGCTCTTCAGACACGGACATAGTGTTTGGTCCCCATTCTATGACTGTGTTTCCCAGTTCTTCTTCTTTCAGCCTTCCAGTGTCTGAAGGGGGCTACAAGGATGCTGGAGAGGGACCTTCATCAGGGACTGGAGTGATAGGACAAGGAGTGATGGGTTCAAACTGAAACAGGGGAAGTTCAGGTTAGATACAAGGAACTAGATGATCTTAAGGACCCTTCCAGCCCAAACCAGTGTGATGCCAGGATTCTGTCTGGAGCACAGAACCTGGGTTTGCTGCCTGGAAACGCAGCTTTTACATGTTTCTGAAGACCATTTGTGCACCTTCTCACCCCTCCCCATTTACTTCCTCCTCCTTCTCCCCACAGGTGGCCAAGAGGGTGGGCAGGGTCCTGTACATGGCCGGCTTCCCCATGGCCTTCCCACTGCAACCTCCTGGCCTGCGCCCCCCGGAGCGGGACCTGCCC